TGAAATAAATATAACATGTTATAAATTTTAGAAATGTCCAGAGTTCGAAGACTGATTTTACCCATTTCCATTGATTTTTCTGAGAGCTACGTTGTCTGCATTTCAGAGCTTTTACGCGTTAACATATAAAAAATGCATTGATAAATATTTATGACAGTTTTTTCTATTATTTTCGAAATATTTACAACCTTAAATTTCTTATAGTAATTTGTCTTTTTTAAATCGTTTTACATGTAATGTACTGAATATTTTTATATCAATATTATATGATTATAAAGTTTTTATCGTTTTATGTGTATCATAGAGTAAGGCAATATTTATATTTTATCACAAAATATCCTTGATTTCGACATAACGGATTGTAAAAATTTATGAATTTAAATGCCTTTGGATTACTCGAAAGATTTTCTAAAAAATGCCTCTTGTGTATGTTTAAAGAATCGCTTAAAATTCATTACCGGAAATCTTCAAACGGTTTTTTTCGAATTAAAAATATTACTAAATACCCACTTGGGATAGTCATGAAAGGGAAATTATTAATCTGAACTGCATCGAAAGTGTTTTTTGGAACGCAAATTCCCTACTGTGTTATCTATCACGATATTTATATATTAAAATATATAAGTGCATTTAGTACAAAGATGTAAATATTTGTACGTAAAAACAGAATTACCATATAAGTACATGATCAAATAAGGGTCAGATTCAGTGCTCTATATTGGTCTTGAAGCGTATTATTTCTTGTGCACACTTTCGTATTTACATAACGATGAGGGGAACCTTTGTGCAAATACAGTTACTGTAAAGTAGTGCACGAAACATTTGTGTATTGTGTTATAAAATTCATTACTTCATTTAGCCTTTTGCACTACGGTAATGATAATTAATAAATCATCATCTATTAACTCGCTTACAAAACGACCTCTTTTCTTTTCCCGCACAGAAAATTCTTACTACACTTGGGAAGCTTTATTCCTATTTCATTATTCTATTATTCAACAAAATACGAAATTCATGAGAAATAAAAACATTTCGCTTTTGTCTTATCGAACATATGCAGTTGTTTCTCGGTACATGTAAGTTGTTTGTTTGTTTTCACACAGATGAGTTCTTAATGTTTTTACATTGCTGTATACATAAGAGTAGCAACATTATATTTCTAAGGCAGAGATAATTCTGAATTCTAAATTTTTTAGAAGAATTATATATTTTTTTAAAATCTGAATCGTAGAACTTTCCAGAATCTTTTCACTCCTTCCAGTTTGAAATTGTCGCACAAAAAAATAATGTAAAAGAAAACGAAAACTAAAAAGATTTAGCCGAAGCTAAGCTATTTTAGCTAATATAGTTTAAGGAAAAATAAATTTAGGACTACAGTTTGTAAAATTTAATTGTTTGTAAAAGTTGTAAAGCTCAAATAATAGAAAAGCTGACGATTATCCAGATTAACTATAATTATGTAATATAAAGTTTCTTTAAACATTATTAAATTTATGCTCTCTTAATATTTATTCCAAAGGAGTGTTGTCCCTTTGTTTCGGTTTCGCAATTTTGCGTCGTATAACTCTGAATGTCCGTTTCACTTTTCAAATTGCTGCCATCAAATATTAGAGCCCTGCATTATACTTAAAGAAGTTAAATAATGAAGAATTTGCATGAATGTATGTATGTTTCTCGCACTGTGAAAACACGACGGTATCTAGAGACATCGAATTTTCAATAATGTAATCCTCCATTCGAATATGGGCATTCGGAAGCCCAAATTTGGAATTTGTTTTATTATATATTTAAAATTCTCTAAGCCTTTAACCAATTTTTGATAAAGTTTACAATTTCCTGCCATAGTGTGCTTTTAGAATCCCGGTTAATGCAAATGAGGAAGAGCGCTGTTTAAGTGGAAGTTCTGCTGACGTCGTTAGAGAGCCAGAGATTCTGACTAGCGCGCGTTTGCCATTTGGCTACACGCTCTCTAAGCTGTTACTACGCTCGGCCATAATTCAAGCCCTTGAGAGCTTCACCAGTTAGTTAACACTTAGGAAGCAACTCCTTAGAATTTTGATAGCTTCGGCTAAATCTTTTTAGTTAAACATTAGTTAAGTTTGATTTCTTAGTACGCTTGAGTTCAAGCCCAAGTAGAGGCGTTCTGTACGCTATAAGGAAGAAGCGGACTGTACAGTTCTAATTTTGAGAAATAAAAGATAATTAACTCTTCTTGAGTTTACGTTTCTGTTTCTAAACATTTCTAAAGCGATTATTCGCGTACCAGTTCACAAGGTTCCTATACACTTAACTAGTAGAGAAATGGTTGCAACCCCCAAAACTTGATATATTAAATAATCATTTTAATATTACGCTTGATGGTTGTGTTATTTGAATGTCTTAGATTTTCATCAAGTTTTGCTTTGTTTTTATTTTTAAAGGATTATTCTACTGGTCATAAATAAAACTAATATTTGCACCGCTTTGAGTTGAAAAGATTAACGTTTTTTTGCGTTAGGATTTGGAAGATTAGAATGACGAAAAACGGCTTGACAAGTGAAATTTCCAGATTTCGAACATTTCTAAAAACCGGGTGCAGCAAGATACTTATATCCCATATATATCCTCAGGTAACTGAGCTGCATCGTCAGAAATTTCAGTATTCAAATATTTGTTGGAATAAGAAACATTTTTCCATTTACTTAGGATATTGGAACGGTATGAGGGTTGAGTAAAAAGTATCTTTCGAATAAAAAAGTAAGTTTAATGTTTCGAAACCCGCAGTGTTGTCCTTTCATTTAAGAATAAGTTCTAGCTTCGAAGTTTAAAAACATTCCATAATATAAATTTAGTTTATATCATAACCATATTGATTTTTTCAATATAACTGCTTTTTGCTTCTTAAGATACATTCAAATATATTTAAATAGTTACAATATTATTCCTGTCACAGGTTCGTATTTTATGCTGTAAGAATAGTGAAATCATTTACTATAATTAATTGTTTCACTTCAATGACATCGTAACTAAATGTTAACTTTCATCAAAATGTAAACATTTCGGCTATTATATAAAAGTAATAAAATCTCCTTGAAACATGAAAACACTACTACCATCATATACATTATGCTGGAATTGGAGCTGAATAATTTGTAAAAAGCATAAGGTTTTACGTTATCAATATTTAGGCTCTTACCGATATACCTTTTATCAGATTTTCTCATCAAGACGGTGTCTCGCAAATCAAATTTTAAGTTGCCAATATTGTGAAAATGTGCAGTGAAGTCAGACGCAACGTGTTATCTTATCTAAAAATATTTAATTCTCATAAATAATTTATTTATGATTTTCTGTGATACTTTTATATGATAATTGACTCTAACTGCCTTGGAAACATTCTACCGCACGTATTTATTTTGTATGCATGTATTTCTAAATTTATCAGCATCACGCCAAGATCACGAAACTGCGAAATTTTTATTTTAACAAAAAAGTGTTTAAAGTAACAAAAGTGTTCATGGTCGTAAGGTTTTGACAAAAGTCAAGTTACGATTTCTGCACAAAATGTTTCTTATATGTCCCTGTACTTCTTAACAATGAGCAAACCAACGACAAATAACGTAGAAAATGCGTATGAAAGAAAATAATCAGCAAAACGTGTTATGGCATTATGCTAAGGAAAAATATATATCATAGTTAGGCAATAAAACAGAATTCCAGAAATTTGTTATATAGAATAATAAATTCGTACACACACATTTAAATCTATATATTGAACAAAACATTAAAGCGGTAGAAATGGAAGTTTAAAAGCAAAGAACAACGGAATAAATCTGAGTTATAAAGAAGCATAATTACAACAAAAGAGAAAAGAAATTTAAAATGAAGTCTTATTTATAATCTCACTACTTTTCATTTTATGAATATTTAATACCTCATTAAATTATTTTCTCCTTCAGTTAACTTTACATTTCCTTTCTCACATTTTCCTTCCTTCTATTAGACAATTGTGCTGTTTCCCTCAACCAATCTCAAAGACCAGTCTCGTAGAACTCCATTTTCAAGTACCACAACTTCCGTTTACTCTTAATTTCCTCGCCTTGTTAATAATGCATCTTGACTGGGGGAGAATAGAAGGAAAAAAAATTGTAGACCTGTTGCACTATGTTGTCACTACACTAGATGGTACCTTACTTTATCCTAATTTCTGTATTAAAGTTTATATAAGAAAAATGGGAAATAATGGAAGCTTCGATATAAGAGTGGACGGGTAAGTGAAGCTATGGAGCAAGCGGTTACGTAATCTTTTATGTGGTAAAAGCAGATGAATATTTTATGCTTCCTTTCATATTATTTTCTAGAAAATGTGAAACACTAATTCAGAAGTCAAACAACAAAAATCAGCGTTAATTTACAAAATTTTCACAGGACTAGTTTCGATGGTTTTACCGAACCATCATCTTCAGCTGCAAAACCGCAAATGAACAAGATAGGAAATAATGTTTAGATAAGATAAGCCTGGACAAGAATAAGCAAGTGGCGCCATCTGTTGGCGAAACCAGAACTAAAACATAATTTCTCTAAAAGCCGAAGGCAAATTTGGATTGGAATTAGGATCGTTAACTAGAACAGAAAGATTTTATGAATGTGAAATGCCTCTAGAAAATCCAGTTCTCCAATGGAAGATGTTTTTTGAATAATTTTGGCATTTCACATTCATAAAAATCTTTCTGTTCTAGTTAACGATCCTAATTCCAATCCAAATTTGCCTTCGGCTTTTAGAGAAATTATGTTTTAGTTCTGGTTTCGCCAACAGATGGCGCCACTTGCTTATTCTTGTCCAGGCTTATCTTATCTAAACATTATTTCCTATCTTGTTCATTTGCGGTTTTGCAGCTGAAGATGATGGTTCGGTAAAACCATCGAAACTAGTCCTGTGAAAATTTTGTAAATTAACGCTGATTTTTGTTGTTTGACTTCTGAATTAGTATTTATTCGGCGTGTTATTGTGTCTTAAATGTGAAACAGTTTTCAGGAAACATAATCACTACACCTTTTCTTGATATCGCCATTTCGGGATATTTTTATGAATCAGGACTGCTCATTTGATTTAGTTTTGTATCAATTGAAACAACGTAGTCTGCTACATTTAAAACATACCGGCATTTAGGTACACAATCTCATGTATAAATATAGTTGTTTAAAACTCGTCCGCACGAGTGATACGTCGAAAATAAAGCATGTTCTGTCAAAAGTTATTTGTTCGAAGGATATCGATTATATTTTCTTGAAGCTCACTGGCAATTCTCCGAATCAAATCTTGCTTCCAAGACGGCTTCCCCATGTCAGAGGTTACTTTCTATATCAACCGGTTCACTGACGTCTGGAACCGGCACAATCGGTGATAAAGGTAAGTCATCTTCAACGATGTTAGCAGCTATCGTTAGACCACATTTAGGTAAGGAAGACCGTCTTCTGGACAGCCGAAAGAATCTGTCCCTCCTTACTAGATCATGGAAAAGTCGGGTAAGTCTTGCCTCGTACCGTTCCGTGCGAACATACTTGATAACGACGATACTCATGCCCAGTATGTACAAAGCCAGAACTACCTAAAAGAACAACAAAATACAATTTATGCCTTTTATATTTCATACAGCTTAAACAAATATTCACTAATGCATTCCATTTGCCATTAATTAGCAACTAATCAGCAAGAAAAATTAACGAAAATTAAGGAATTAAACGGAATGACGGTTATGAGGATTTATCTATTTATTTTTAACTCATTATTAATTTTAATTAGTTGTCACTCTCTTTTCACCCACACTTTTCATGTCAGATTATAAATTAGATAAAGCGCGTTTATACAGATTAAAGGAGAAAGAAGTGCTATCTAAGCGAAGGTTTCGCTATTTGTTTTAGAGCGAGTTCCGCTTACTTGAGGCCAGCGATTTGATTCCGTGGCACTGAGTGCTTCTAGCCATTAAGCGCATCTCCCCGGCTTCTACGAGCCAGAGCCTTTCTGCCTGTTTACGTTATCCTGTGATCCGTTAGGTTAATCTGAATTGCATTTTATTTTAAGTTCAACATTACTTGCTTTTGGCTTAACTTAAGTTAAGCCAGAAGTGTTGGCTTATATAAACCCAAGCGGGGTCGATTGTTAATTCTTTGCGATCGAATAAAAGGGTTATTTACATATTTATACCCATCTTCTGACTCTGTCTGTTTGAAGTTAAACATACGAGGATAATCCCTTTTTAGTATTCTAGAGTTCGTGAGTTTATGTCACGCAAGCATACGAAATTCTACAACCCTGTGTGACGAAAGGGCTCAATATATTTTATGAGCTGTACCTGCATGGAAATGCTGCGGAAGCAACTGGAAAATTCGTTCAGTATATCTTGATGCTGTCTGTAAATAAAGAAGTTTAATAAGTCCAAAATGAAAATTTTGATCTTGGGGATGAACCTTAAAATAAAATACTGAGAAATGTTAAAAATAATGAACTGAAATTGCTGATGGAATCCCATCCACGTATCACCAGTGAGGTACTAACGTTATCGCGGACAAAATTTTAAGGGATTTTATGCTTTTTCACTATTATTAGGCTTTTTTCTCCAAATGTCAAGCACACTAAAAAATTTCAGATTTTTCCTTGTCATTCTTAAATTCTTATATTTGTTAGTTTATTCTTATAGTTGAATAGATTTTTATGCACATTTTCTTCATTATATCTGCAAAATAACTCTGCAGAGTAATATCAAGATGTTCTAAAGTCCAATTTAAAAATTTAACCTTTTAATGTTTGGTTTTAATATGAGAAAATGTCGGTACTTAAAATCTCTTTTGATTGAAATACGTAGCTATAGGAAGACAGAAATTAATATACCAACATTTTCTTTCATGTGTACATAAATAACAATCTATCCAAGAGGAAAAAAACAATAACTGAGAATAAGTTTCCAGTGGTGATTGTCTTAACATTGCACCCTTTAATTATTGCCTGGTACAGTAAATGCAGCATTTTCTTGTTTTCCCAAAATTAGTTAATAGAAGGTTGAAAACGAGATATTTTTCTGAAAAAACAAAAGAATTCTTCAAATAAGAAATCTTTTTTTTTATTTTTCATTTTTTTTTATCTGTTTATTTTTTATTTGTTAACTCTAATTTCAACTCCTGGTGTTCCACAAAGTATACCACGAGGCATACACAAGTAAGTTATAGCACTAACAATAAACGAATTTGCAATAGATCTGCAAATAGGGGAAAATGATTAAAACGCAATAAATAAATAAAAAAAAATGAAATAAATAAAAAGTAAAAAAATAAAGCGAACTCAACGATCTAAAGTGAGAATGAAATTTCGAATCCTAATCCATAACCGTATTAGAAGTCTACTACCTGAAGTTGCACTTTATTTCTATAAGTCTCTTCCTCCCTAGGGCCTTCTATTGGTTTTTTAAAAATCCGGTAAAAACCGAAGAAACTTCTATGAGAAAAGTAGTTATCAGTTGAATGGTACATCTTAAAAAGAAATTTCGAAAAGCAGAAACTATCTCTTTGGTCCTAAAAATTTCAGAAAAAATTGCTGGCGAAGATGTTAAAAATAACTTTACTTAAGATTATTCCGATCTTTCTTGTAGGAGATTTGGTCTTCTTGGCAGGTCTAACAGCGATTCCGTGGATTACATGAAGCTGCCACCACACTCCAGCAAAAGCTGTTAAAATAATGGAGTTAGCACAACATTTCTTGGAATTCTATTTACCAGTTAGATGTCAGTCTTCATTCGGTAGCACCAATCGCTAATCATGCAGAGATCCTTTATCCACTCGCATTAATGCAAGTGTGCTTCCATTCACTGCCTACTTCACTTTTGCCTTGCTTTCACTACTTGCTACTCTACGCTAGGAAAATTTAGCTTGTTTCGCAGGCACATGGTGCGGCGAGAAATTAGCCTTTCAGATCCAACCAGTGAAAGGGAACTGTTTGTAAAGTTTGGTTGGTATTGGCAGTAATCTCCTGTTTGATAATCGCTTGAAAACTATACCATACGCATTCTTATCAAGTAAACTAAAATAATTAAAGAAAATGCATTTTTCTTCCTTGTAGGCACGAAAAATGCCGTGTATCATATTTCAATAAAAATATCCATTTTGACCGCTTTTGTAGGTAAAAGTGAAGTAGGCAGTGAGTAGGCAGTGAGTAGGAGTGAAGGATGTTCTTGGGTGACATCTATACGTAAGGACAGAATGAAAGAAATTTTTTCCCCCAAACGAATTATAAAACTGATTTAATATGGATTCAGGAGAGGTTGCTTCGTGGAGTCTGTACGTACGTACGTATATACGCATCTCGCATAACTCAAAAAGGAGTAGCTTCAGAACATTGAAATTTTGTATATAGGACTGTTTAAACATGTAGTTGTGTACTACCTATTTTGGTTGCAATCGGCCGCACCAAACGTCTATAAGCATATACTCAGATATCCACTCTGTTACTCGGCTCAGTGAGCTCAGTGCTTTTTATTCTTATATGGTGGTAAATTGTGCGCTTTTTGCTTTAAAAATGATTGAATTATGTTATTCTTATCTTCCGGTTCCTTTAATTCATCTGCATGAAATAGTTGTAGAATTATCAACAAGTTAAACGTTATTTAAGTAGGCTTAAGCCTAATTTTCTTTTACCATAACAACTTTTCAGTTTTGTGCACCGAAAAAAAAAATTCTTTCTTCCTACTGGCCAAATTGCTTCTTTTTGCGTAGAAACTGTAATTTTAATTTTAAAACATTTTCTTTAATTGTTTTAACTGTGTTTGGTATTTTATGTTTTTCTATATCTTTCGATTTTTAATGAAGATATTTTGAGTTTTCATTATTTTTGCCTTGCCGCGAAGTGAGAACTGAATTAATTGAATTAGAAATATATCTTTAATGAAATTCGAGGAAATGAAATGAAATGCAAGAAAAAATGCGTATAACTTAATATTCCGTGCCAGGAAGGTCATGTGGTTTACACATCAGATTTTTAATTTAAATAGTAGATGGAGTTTTTGACGGATCGTCGTTATGTTATAAAAATTATAGTCTTAATATAGTCAAAGAACGTATATAATATGCCATATAATGCATTCCTTGCCTTCAGCATTGCGATACCTTGGAGGTCATTTGCGCGTTGCTTAGCGACAAATGGACTGCATTAACTATAGTCCTTAAAAGCATTTTATTAATGGCAGATCTAATCAGAGAAAAGCTTAGTTAACAGGAAATAAAAAATAGTTTTTGGAAAACTTTGCATTGAAATATCGTTTCATAAATGTATGCTTATAAGTGAGATGAAAATTTTATAATTCGTGAATATCTAGTTTAAAGATAGTTTGCGAAAAGTTTAATCCATCAATCCCCTGTATAATATTTGATCTTCTGCGTCTAAATCTCGCGAAAGCCTTTTATTATTTTACAAAAGACTGAAAAAATTAAATCTTTTTTTTTAATAAAAGCTGACTAGATAATGTTAAGTAAAGTAATTTATCCTAGAAGCAGTTTAATTCAGACTCAATATAAGGGCTACATTTATTATTGCCTCACTGATAAGGTGGAAATGGGAAACGTGAAGATTATTCAAGGAACATTCAAACTGTACAATGATCTAATATTTTTATTCCTTATCTTACTTAAAACCAAATTTCTTGAATATGCCATGAAAAGCGTTTTATATCTTTATTTATTTTGTGGGAATGTATTGAATTTACTTACCAGTTATTTTTATTTTGAAGCAACCTTTCCTATAGCTATTGCTTTTAACTCACAGTTTCTTGCCAGAATGTAACTGGTCTAACGCGCGTGTATTCAAATGAGGTACTTAAAAGTTAGCATTTAAGGGAAGGTTTTTGAAAAATGAATTTAGAGCGTGTTATGCCTGCCTGAACGCCACGTTGCTGTCTTTATTTTCAGCGTTTAGATTTATGTGGCATTGAGCGCTTTTTGCCATTACGCTTCTTTACACCGACTTTCGAGTCAGAGCCAGCCTGGACTTTAAGTAACCTGTGAAACCGTTAGGCTAAACTTAGCTCCATTAAATATTAAGTTAATCGTTACTTGTTTCAGTTAAGCCACAAGTATGAGCTTTCGTTAACAAAGATCGGTGCTATCTGTGACCTTTATCTCCGTTAATAAAGGGTTCTGTACACTCTCCTCTTGACTTACATACTAGAAGGCTTGATCATACTAAAAGACTTCGAAAAAGTTCTCTAAACAGTTTTCTAACGTCTGGCTTAGGTTATGATACCAGAGTGTACGAGACGTTGTACTTTATTCAATTCTTTATTATATATATATATATATATATATATATATATATATATATATATTAATATTCCATAAACTGTTACAATGAGAAGAAAAGGTCATACTGTTAAGAATGATTTTACTTCCATCTGTTTAATTTCTCTGATATTGCTCAGAAATTTAAACGTTTTTCCTACTACTTGCGTATTAGTATAGAGTATAAGCGAACAAAAAATTAAAAAGTTTAGGATCGATGACTTGATATCAGATTTTGTATTATGAAAGGTAAGTAGGGAAGGTGTCATTCAGGAGTTAATTTCCATAATCAGAAGTGCCGGAGCTCCCTGGACGGCCGTCATGAAGAAAATACATAAATAAAATAACTGATAATTAAAATATCTAAATTAAAATTTAATAAATGTAAAGATATATATATAAATTTAATAATTTATCAAATTCATAATAAACATCTAAATAAACGAAATAAAATATCGGACCTCGTCTTATTTGGGGCTCTGACTGGACTTACAATTTCATACAAAAACTAAGAAATAGCTCAGCTGGCCTCCGGCTGAATTTAGATCAGATATATCGTAAATATATAGCATAGCATACTGTTTCAATGGAGGGGGGATTATTCTTTTCCCAGTACGACAGTGGATAAAAGTAAAACTATTAAAACGTCACTAGTGAAAATAGAGAGAAGGCTAGGAAAATATGAGAGTATGGAAAGAAGTTTTAATGAAGAATTATAGCTTTGAAAACAAACATAGAAGAGTTCAACGTTTTCTGACCGCGATGCCTTAGCAGTTTAATTATCGCTGTTAAGCAGAATAAGACTGGGCGAAAACATTCCACCCTAATCCGTTACAGTGACGCCATAAGAACAAATATTAGGTCTGCATAAGTGGCAATTTTTGTCCCCCATATTTGGTTACCTAGTTGTCCGCAGGAGCTCTGCTGTTAGAGGTCACTAGTACTGGACGCGGAAGACCAAGGTAATCAATGTTAATAATCCAGGGAACAAATCATTTTATCTCTTTTCTCAAATTTGTTGCATTACTTGGAGAATAAGCCTTTGACATGTCGATGGGGGCTTTATTCTTTCCTTAAAAGTCCTAACTTCCATCAAAGTGTTTGTTCCCCACAGGCGTCAATTCGGAAGTTATAATCAACTTTAAAGGTATATTTATTTTTAAAATAAAATTTATCTGTTGGAACTCTGTTTCACTTGCCTAAATGAAATACTGGAGCCGTTTTATTTAGGGATCCATTGCGCTCTGGCTAGAATTAGAATTTACCTCAGAAACTGAGGCTCCGTTGGGATCGGGCGGTATCATTCCACCTAAGGCATATGGACTAGCCGAATCATTGAAACTATCCCTGCTGTGATGAAATACGTGACAAACCGAAGTGCCAAACTTCTCTACAGCTTTGTGTACCGATCTCATTTAGACTCAATAGGGAAAATGCAAATATTTACCTGAAAACAGTATCGCTAACCAAATAAATTACATCTGATTTGCAAGCAGGCTATATTTTGGTATGTTTTTTAAAATTAATCTTTCTGCACTGACATTTAACATCTCTGTTATAGATGAAACAGAATAGATGATATATAAAAGGCTTCCATAGATAACGCAATAAATTAATTATAATTTCATCATAAATGTGTAAATTGGACATATTCATGCGAACATTTACTAGACGAAAAATAGACCTTACATACCACGACATATATGATTGCATTCGATTGGCTGTTGGCGTGCATTTCCAAAATCGCAGCATGCCCGGGAGATAGAGTCGTAGCAGGTATTCTGTAAAAAGGAGGAGCCACCGCCGAAGGGGCCATAGATGTCCTGATGACGTCAGTAGTAGTATTAGAGGTGGTGGGCGAGACTGCCAGTTCGTTATCATTTGCGAAAGTTGCCATGGCAACATGGCTGAGGTAAAAAATGATGGGTTTCTTTTATGGATGAACTACAGAAGTGTGTCTCCAGGAACCTATGATTAAATAAAAGAAGTCATTAATATGGTTAACTCATTCACAGCATCATTAAGCAATTAATTATGCATTATAAACTACATAAATGTGACATTAAATTAACGTTATACGAGTGAATTAGTTCAGTGTATATTAAAGTTGTGACTAATCTCGCTTATCTGAAATCAGAGCAAGCCCACGAAATTCATCTTGGCAAGGAATCGACATTGTACCTATTGTTGGTAAGATTTTTTGAGCACCATAACTGTGACAGAACTACTTTACTCAGTTCCGCATCCAAGTCTGAAGGAGAACAAACACCTGGAGGGTCTACCACTCCTATTCCCTACCACTAACCTCTCGAGAGAACTTTCGTCTCGCGATGTATTTTGAGTGTCCCTATACTGCACAGACATTATACATTTACAAACATCCATACCTTTTTCAAGATTCGAACCCGGGTTCTTCGCAGTAGACAGTGTAACTAACCTTTATCCCGGTTTGGCGACTAAATATATTAAATATAAAAAGTGCAAAAATTAAGAGCAGTGTTAAAATAAATGCATTTGCCGAAAACTGAACAAATTTCATTTGCGTAATAGTTAACGGTTATATAATATTCCGTTGGGTCGTTCCAGTTTTAAATAATGGACGCGACATAGCTTCAAATAATGCTTATGATAGAATCCTGACTTGCAACAGGTCTTATCGCAAGAAGAAATTCAGTTAATTAATGTAGAATTCTATGGAATTTTAACAGTATCCATTCTCTTACAAAACACTGTATGCGAAGAGCAAATGGCGAGAAAATACTAGAGAGCAGTTTGCCTGCCGTGTGGTCGAAATTCTTGCAAACCTAATTTGTTTTCCTTCATTTATTCCAGACTTGTTTGTAATTTGTTCACTTATCTATTTTTGGCGCTTTACGCAGTTCCTATTATGAATCTTATTTATCTATCGAAACTCCTTGATCTGTACGGCATGGATAAACATGTATAAAGAACGGCGTAAGTAGTTTTATAGAGTCATTAGGTTATTTTGCTGCAGGAGATGTGAAAAATGAGCAATGTCCTCCCCGGGACTCGAACTTGGCCCTCTCGAATGCACCCCTACTATGCTATCGTTACACCACGAAGGCATGCAGAAAGAAGGGAGAAAATAATGACCGTAAGACCAACTTGTTTGGTTAGGTGAGTTGGGCTGCGCTCATTTATATACTTCCTCTTTTAAAGGGCGACTGGGGATTAGGGAAACCAATCGCCAAATCCTGGTGGTGAAGTATCATCATCCACCGTCTTTCAGTTCTGAAGCCACCGCGAAGACATTAGGTTATTTTGAAGCAGGATACATGAAAAATTAGCAATAAGCTCTCGCTGAAGTTCAAGCCTGGTCCTCTCGAATATGCGGCAAGTGTGCTACTGTTACGGCATGAAGTCATGGTGAAAGGAGGAAAAAATATCTCCCTAGCTTTAAAATCGTTATTTCCTAGCATTTTTTTTATTCACTGTTCAAATTCGATGTTTATTTTGCTCCGTCCTCTTTTCCAGTTTGTTCAGTGCTCCCCTTGCCTTTGCTGCAATGAAATACTAGATGTCTATTCAATATAATTTGTAAGAAATAACTGCAAAGACATTACAATTTTAGGTTGAACTTGTGTTGCTTCAAACTATTTATTAAATCCCATCAAACATTATTTCAGATAAAATGTCGATGAATGAAGGTACTTGGTCTTTATCAAAGGTTAACAGGTATTGGCTCTCATTCATCATTAACTAGATTTTTTTTTTCATTTTAAATAACAATAACTAAATTTAAACATTTCCCCTTTTTCAATATGTAACACATGAATTTTGAAATATATTTACATGAAAGAGGAATAAAAAACTAAAGTTAAAATGTAAGTACATTGAAAATATGTATAACGTTCCCTGTTCCTATAGGCCATCAAACATTCATAAAATCAATCATACAAATAACTATAATATCGTAAGTAAGTTTCCACACCTTCTTCAATAAAATAAAGTTACTACTTGTGAGATTGAATAAAGTTATAAGTCATTTTTCCTACCCTCCTAGCGTGCCTTCGTGGTGTTGGGTCTCCACGCTGGGAGTGTATTCCAGAGGTCCGTGGTTCGATTCCCGGCGAAAGCGTTGATCATTTTTCATCTTTCATGCTTCCTGAAAAAAGCTCTCGAATTAAAAGGATGATTTTCCACACCCAGAATTTAGCGATAGGGTCCTATAAAATGCCCAGTTGCTCTTTAAAAGGAGGAGTATATAAGGTAAATTTTCCCGCCATTTTTTTTTCCCTATCATGCCTTCGTGGTGTGGTGGTCTGCTCGCTGGGCGCGTCCAGAGTTTGCTGGGTTCATGGTTCGGTTTCTCGCGAAGGTGTTGCTCATTTTTCATCTTTCATGCTTCCTAGAAAAACCTAATGTCTCTACAAAGTAATGAAAACATGCTGCTAATATATTAATATTTTTAAGTAGGATGCAAATATCTTTTTTGTAAAAAATTTAGCATGGTATAGTTTTGTTAAGGCAACATAATGAGCTGAAGATCCATTGTCCTTACAGACACCATGTTTATGTGTGACAAGACCATGCCCTCCTTTGTATCTTGGTAACTGCGAATTTCAGTTTTACGATTTAGGTCAACTGTTGAAAGATAGCTAAATGTGCTTCTTCCCTGTTCACAAGCATTCCACTGTTCTTGCCACTTTTCTCAGTGATATTGTCGAGAGATAATTTTTAAGATATGAACTAGATGGAGGTTCGGAAGCGTATTCAGCATAATATGAGGGATGTTCAAATGATAAACGATAATACAGATGTATTGAAGGTCTTTATTCAGAAGTAATCATCAGAGGTCTGAGCATAACTATCCCACTGTTTCACAAGCCGAAGAAGTCCGTCTCCACAGAATTCCTGTAGCTGTGACAGGAGCCAGTACTCCATCGTGTCTTTCAGTTCGTCGTCCAAGTTGAAGTTCTTGCCTTTGAGATGTCACTTCTCACCAAATGACGACCTTGCCGATGAGTTCGGCCGTGATTACCCTGTTTGCCTGGCCTGGTCATCACTCAAACACTTCAGGCTTTCACGAGAAATGATACTCCACTTTTTCACTGACTTGTCGGATATACAGTCTCCTTCGTATACGGCCACCATCCGGCGATGATAACACCTCACTGAAATATGATAACACCTCACTGTTTCTCAATTGCCTAGTTTTCCAATGGAACGCCATGACGTCCTCACACTTACTGTCGCATCAATTGGACGGACACTGCCGCACACTGCGTTCGCGACCTTAGATATCTCAGTACGTTATGCCAAAGCGGCATTTACAAATTTAAGCCGGTTTATATGTTACGAAGTTTCTTACCTTTCCATTTAAATGCACCTTATATTTTCAGCGGCCTCTGATTGATCCATCAACTCACTCTATGATCCATCATGAGTTTTTATCCAAAAAATACTGACACGATTTCTTTCCATGTTTTGTAATAACAAATTAGCGGTAAAGTTTATCAATAATTTGAAATTGCAAATCGCATTGAGATACTGTCAGCAAAGCTATTTCAATGAATAATATTATTGTTTATAATGTATTCATTTGTTTTGATGCTTCTGCTTGTAATATACTATTTCCATTGTCAAGATTTTCCTTTTCAGTGATGGCGTAAGGGTCAATTCTATGCATTTTACTGTTATATGATAAATGTTCAAGTTTTATTTTATTGTTTTTATTAACGAATATACTTTTAAGTATTGCCATAAAAGCCGGATGTAAGTTACTTAAAGCTGTGGCATCTATCATAGTGGTATATAATTGCTTTTGTATATATGGGTTCATGCTCCAATTTATGGCCTGAAATCATTAGCTGCAGGAAATTTAATGTGATATTGACTCATTAAGAGGCACTCTATTATGTAACGAGCAGAAGATCCTATGTCTCCATGGTTGTGATGATCAGTATTGGTAAATACATACGTATTAAAACCCTGACCGAGCCCAGTTACATATCTTGATAACTTCGGAATCGAAATTTTGCGAATTAGGTTAACTGTTGGTAGATAATTAAAGGCGAGTCTGCCTTGTTTTACCCATTTTGTTATTTTTTAAAGGGATTGTAGAGAGATATGATCTAAGCCAGAGAATGGACATATATTCTGCGTTATAATTTGTACTTGTAATTTTGTACTCCTTCCAAAGATGAAATTCGTGTGCTTGTTCTGATGACGTCAGGCAAGCGAAAATAGTCACAGCAACAACAACGAATACATGAGTCCATTTCCCTTTGAAAATCACCTACGAAGGCGAGCCTTCCTTTAGATTGATACCCTTCCAGTGCTTTGCTATAATTAAATAAACCAAACTTGCTTGTCATTAAGGTAAGCGAGTAGTTTTGGAACATGGATGTTAAGTACTGTGATGAACCAGTTCATCTTACATAAAATTCTTATTAGCAGAAATTGGGTCCATTTCTTTAGCCCAAAGGTGAGAGCGTTATTTTTAGCGCAGAAGACCTATTAGTTTCGAAACAACATTTTGCGTTGAATCACTTAAATGCGATGTATTACTTTTCAAATTGTTGCCACTAACTACTATACGCCCTGTATTATGTTTAAAGAAATTAAATAATGAAGAATCGGCATATATGCATGTATGTTTCTCGCATTCTAGAAAAACAGCGGTACCCAGAGACATCCAATTTTGAATACGGTAGTCCTCCTCCCTAATATGGGCACCTGGAAGCTCGAATTTGGAATTTAGGATTTGTTTTACAGTCTATTTCATATTTTGTAAAAGTTTAACGAATTTTTGATTAAAAAATTGAAAAATTTGAAAATAAATGTCTGAAAGCTTTCAGATTTTACACGGAAGAGCCGTTACATTATGATCACGCCTGTTAGTAACATATATAACCAATTTTAACCCTCAAAACTGCCAGCACCCGTCTTGACATTGACTCCACAAGGTGCTGATACGTAGTCTGAGGTATCTGGTACGCTCGCCA